TCGGTGACATCAAGCCCGCCGAGATCGCCATCAGTCATTGGTTCGATATTGCCTACGACATGGACTCTTACAACCACGACTCAGTGCCTGAGTGGCTCGCTGGATTCGCCGCCCGTAACTTCGGTGAAGAGCATGCTGAGGAGATCGCCGAGATCATGGACGAGTACGGTTTCCTCGCCAACATGCGCAAGTTCGAATGGGTCGAGCCCTCTTCCTTCAGCGTTCTCAACTACGAGGAGGCTGACCGCATCCTCGCTCACTGGGAGTCACTCGCCGAACGCGCTAACAAGGTCAACGCCGCGCTATCTCCTGAACAACAGCCCGCATTTTACGAGATCATCCTGCACCGTGTCCTTGCTGGAGGAAACCACGTCGATGTACAAGTTTCAGGCGCCAGGAACATCATCTACGCGCAGATGGGCCGCAACAGCGCCAACAGGTGGATGCAGCGTGTGATTGATGGCATGAACAAGGACCACAACCTCACCCGTCTCTACCACACTCAGCTCAACGGCAAGTGGGACCACATGATGGACCAGACCCATCTGGGATACCAGGGATACTGGTAAGTTCTAAATGATCTAGCGATGGAAGTCATGATGCTAACCCAACCGCAGGCAACAACCTATGCGCCAGTCCACCCCCGATCTCCGCTGGGTACAGACTCAAGAACGATCCCTAGCCGGCGACATGGGCATCTCCGTCGAAGGCTCGAACGCCACCATCCCCGGTGATGACATGTGGCACAGCAACGGCGGTGGTTCACTCACCCTGCCGGCCATGACACCCTTCACGCCCAAGCGCTGGATTGAGATCTCTCACCGCGGCACCGGCGCCTTCAACTGGAACATCAGCGCCGACCCCTTTGTCACTCTCTCCGAAGCCAAGGGAACCATGCAGCCCAACGACGAAGACATCCGCATCTACGTCGATGTAGACTGGACCAAGGTCGAAGACGGCTTCGGCGCCCAAAGCAAGCTCAACTTCTCCAGCTCCACCGACCTGGGCACGCAGGGCGGAAACCCACAAGTCATGTTCATGGTAAACAAGACGTCCATCCCCTCCGACTTCAACGCCGGCTTCGTCGAATCCGCAGGCCAACTCGCTTTCGAAGCAGAGCACTACACGCGCTCCACCCCTGGTTCTTCCGACAACGAATACATGGTCCTTCCCAAATACGGCCGTACCATGTCTGGCGTCAAGCTCGCGAACAACCTAGCCGAGGGCCTTGACTCCTCCAGCGCACCAAGTCTGGAATACGACTTCGTCACCTTCACACCCACCACCAAGGCCAAGGGCCTCAACGTCACCCTCATCCTCACACCCACCCACAACATCAACCCCAAAGTGCCCCTCGCGTACATTGCTCAGATCGACAACAAGACCGAGGCCCGCCGCCAGTTCGTCATCGACCAGCCGCAGCCCAACTTCCCTGTTGGATGGGGTGTTGCAGTTGCGGACAGCGCGTGGAAGAACACTACTAACCACGGTGAACTTGCACCTGGTAAGCATACGCTCAAGCTGTGGCTTGTAGAGGCGAATGTTATTCTGCAGAAGGTTGTCCTGGATTTGGGTGGTGTTGTTTACAGTCATAATGGGCCGCCGGAGAGTTATCGCGTTGGCGGGAATGCGACTATGCACTAGACAGAGTGGTGCTAGAGGGGATGGAAAGGATAGTTTGTCAGAGATGAATTCAGTAATGTAATGTGTTCATTCGCAATGAGTTGTCGAAACGTGTGTGTCTAGACGTGAGGTTGTACGATATGCGATGACAACGGACCGATGCGGTGAGATTAGCTGGAGTGGTCGCCATGCCATGGCGGACCGATTCTTGTGCAAATGGGGAAACGCAGCTCGAAAAAGACACAGTATACCTGATGTATTGATGGAGAAGTGAATTCCTCATGCCCATGCATCGCTATGCTACACCCCGAAGAAAGACAATCCTGAACGCCAACACAATATGCCGCCACCTATCTTGTATCCAAATTCTCAATCTGCCCTATACCTCCTCCCTATAAATCTTGTGTATCATCTTCCCCCGTCCTATGCAACACCACCAGCCCCTCCCCCCGCACCCCCAGCACTCCCTCCCACATCACTTGTCGCACCCCCTTTCCCCGCTTTCCTCCGCATGCTCTTACTGCGGTGTGAATAGTAGTTGCTGGGTTCCTTCATCTGTTCCTTGTCGAGGCGCTCTTGGCTGGGTTGCAGTTTGCCGTCCGTGGCGCGTTCTTTGACTTTGCTGACTTTGGAGCCCATTGTAGAGGGTGTGTTGGGAGCGGTGGGGTTGGTGAAGGGTTGAGGTGGAGGGACGGGTAGGTAGGGGAGGAAGGGGTAGGTTGGTGTGGGTGTTGAGGTGGTGGTGGGTGTGGGTTGCGCGCGTGGTGGTGAGGTGGTAGACGTAGAGGGGGAAGAGTGGGTTTGGTTCGATAAGATGATTACACTGGTATCTCGTCAGCTCAATTCCAGCAACAAGTCGCGTGTGCGCATTCGCGCAAGGCTATCTTTTACTTACGGCGGCGCAGGATGAGGTTCCGGTTCCGGTTTACTCGGCGGTCTCGATGTCGCGTCGGTAGGTTGAGATTGTTGTTGTGAATGTTCAGGTCTAGAAACAAGGAGAGAGAGTTAGGAATTGGACCGACAAAAGATACGAGATGGTTGCACAAACTACCTAGGTAAGATTGGGCATACGTACGACAGGGATGACGTAGGTGGGTGCGGCTGGAATGGCGGATCGGCAGGGTCTGGTACCTGGAAGTGGGGCGCAGGTGCTTTACCGGATTGGGCGAGGATGATGATGCTGGGTTGGAAATGGTTAATGGGGGTGATATTGGTTTGGTGGTAGTCGTCTGAAGATGGTTGAGTTTGATATGGAAGGGGTCAGAACTTACGGTGGTGCAGCTGGCGGTTCTGGGTCGTTTCCACCATCTATCATTTTTCCGCAGGTTGAGCGTGGTTCTTGATGTGACATCTGACTTGAGTACTGAGACTGTTGAATGAAGTGCCAGGCAAGTCTGTATACTTCGAGTAAAATCTCGTGTGCCTCTATGACAGAGGCTGCGTGTATAACGGCGATGGAAGACTGCTCGATGCTGTTGATAGTACTAGATTGGGCTTGAAGGGAAGTCATAGCAAGAGCCGGCGAGAAGGAGATATCCATCATGTTCATTGAGTTAATGGCCCTAACCTTGCCCCATCCCGACTCTTATATATGATTTGAGGCCTCTCATCTCAGCACGAGCATGAGCGCATTTCCAACGATCTCCCTCCGACTCACAGCCGGAGTCATGGCTGTCGCAGCACTCTACTCTTTCGATTTTCGCCCCATCATCCCATCTAGTGCTCATCTAACGAGTAGGAATGGTCGTTTCCACGTTGAAGAACGCGCTAGAGCAACGTTGAAAGCTCGGCCAGAACGTGTAGGGTCGGATATAGGGCTAAGTTTGGTAGCCGTGACCCGCTTGACGGCCTGTATAGGAAGTATCATTGGATCGTCCCGTTTTTAGTCAGAGGGAAGCCTGAGAGGAGGCTCAAGTTAAGCTTTCTGGCATGTGTCTCAGAGGTGACCCGTTTCGGTGTCTAAGTGCGAGGCAGTTCGGTCAACCGAGTCGGCGACTCGGAAGACTGAATCAGGTGCATCAGGCGAGCCATTGCCTTTAGTCGGGTATAGATGCATTCTTCACCTTCAACCAAGCGGATCGCGTCGCGGGCGATGCTGTAGTGATGTGGCTGTGCGTGGGATATGGGCATCGTGTAATTTAGCTAGGACGGTTAGAGCTTCCGTTCGTGGGAGGCCTGGTAGGCCGAGCAGGAGGCTTACTCTGGATCGCCACCATGGCGGTGTTGTGCATGATAAGGCCCTCAATCATCTGTGATATCGAGGGAGAGAGAAAGAGGAAATTGCGACATTAGTGACGGGATTGGGGACGTGGAGATGTTTGGCCGTTCGCGCATGGCGCATGGTGCCCCGCTTCAGCCCTGGAGGTCCACAACGCTGGGCTGGTTCCTGGCCGTGGCCGCCACGGCCGCCCACCCAATTCCCGCCGCTACTCTGCAAATCCACCAACAACTGCATCATCATCCTTATTCTCAGCACACTCGTGACTCTAGCTCTGTCATCATCTCTCTTGACTAATCGCCTTTGTGCCGCGACGTTCAATGCCGCGCTCTTCCTATTGCTCACACGTCTCTGCCACGGCGGGTTCCGACATCCATTTCTTTGGGAACACCAACGCCCAGATCGACCACAATGCCAGGGATCATGGGCTTATCTCAGCCATAAATAGAGAGCTTCGCGAAACTCCAGGATTGGTCTCAGGACCAGACTTGTGACTCGTATCACAATCATGTCTGCCTCGCCCTAAGGTGAACGGTCGTTGGGGGCCAATGGCAGTGCACGCGGAGCCGAGTTCCAGGACCACCACCAAGCCTCGAGCAGCCTCGTCTGTGTTACTGCTTATATAATGCACGGCGAACCGACTGTGACGTCTTGACTGGTTAGGAACCCAGCAGATAAATTATTCCCAAAGATTCCAGACCATTGACATGAGGGCCGATCGATCCTAGCTCCGACCGGTCAGGTCTCACATTAGCACACCATTTTTACCGCGCATGCATTTCCTGTCACGGGAGCGTCACGGCCTTCGCGCTTATATATCAGCTCTGACAGCTTGAGCGCAATATGTAAGTATGGCGGGAGTAGAAGAACGTCCGTACGAGCAAGCGCAACAGAATGCGATAACGTTACCAATACCAAGGCAAATATGACTCCAAACTCCAGGGAAGGTCGAACATCCAAACACTAGTCCATGTTCAGTAGTCCACCAGGCCAAAAAGCTGACAGAAGCACTATCAAGGCGATGTAGACGCGCTGCGTCCGATGATCCAATCTTGTTTCTCGAAACCATCCCGAAAGAAACGCCCTCACATCTCAACGCCGAAAGCTGATCAGCTCGCGACTCCTCAACCACCACACCTATCCCCCGCAAACTAGTACCCTAGAAACAAAGCGGAACCCCAGAATTACAAGTACATCCGCTCGGACAATTAAACCCAGGCACCGTAGTTTCCGGCTGCGGCGGCTGTGTCGGCTTCGATGGGTTCATCGGCGGCTCAGGAGCCGACTCATCAGGTCTATAATTCTTCTTGAGCGCCCCGACAATCACATCGCCAATCTCCTTGTGTCCATCCTGTTTCGGATGCAACGTCCGCGCTATATACCCATTGAAATTCCCGCTCCCACTACCACCATTCAGAGGCTGCGGCTCAACCTTCACCTCCATGCTCAGGTTTGGTTCCTCGGGGTTGCGAAAGGTAGTTATCGTGTATTCGTCTTGTTGCACGGATTCGCCCTCGGGGTATCCGCGTAGCTTCTCAAGGATATCCTCGGGTGGGCCGGGGGCGTCTAGGTTGTCGCTGGGCTCGTATGTGGTAACGCTCTCGCCGTCGTGGATGGTGATACTCCGCCGGATGGGGTTGTTAAAGATATGCACCTCGGTGCTGTTAGGGTCGAGCTGCACCCTGAGGCTGTGACCTTTTTCGCAGAATCGGTGGCCTTCCAGGGCGGGGTTGATGTCGATGTATCGAATCTTCGGATCGTTGTATTGTTCGACGGCGGAGCGGATCGCGAGGTTCACCGCGTCGACCTAAGCGGGTAAGGGGCGTTAGTGTGTGAGATGAGAGTGCCATGGGAGTAGAATTTACCAGATCATTAAACTCTTGTCGCATTTCTTTTACGACCTTCTGTGCATTCCATGGGAATTGGAACTGTCTGCCAAAATCCCAGTCGTTGCACGCGTCGTCAAGCGCGAAGAAGCGCGCATATCCTAGCATGAAGAGTGTTGCGTCGTTGCCGCTGACAGCAGGGTGGGCCCTCCAGATATCGATAGTATCTATAACGGCCTGCTTGAGGTTGTCTCCGACTCTTCCTCGTACTAGCTTGATCTCCTTCCTGCACAATCCCGTCGGGCTGTCAGCATCGTCGTCTTCGTAATGAGTCCCATAGTCTACTCTCGGGTCGGTATGGAAGAGGCAGCTGTCGGCCATGGGGTAGAAATCGGCATTATTCCCGCCGGCTTCGAGCATGGTCATCTTCGGTCGTGTCAACTTGTCCATTTGGTCGTGGATGTTCTTTCCCAAATGGGCGCCGGAACAGGCTCTGAACTCGAATTGGGGATCTTGATCGGGGTTTTGTGTCCAGTCCTGGTATCTGTCGTTGACTATGGTTGACCAGGCGTACTTGAAGCGCATGCATCCGTCTTCGTTTCCGTCGTATGCGGTATCGTTGTTCCATTGGACTCCGCTCTGTTATACTTTAGTCAATGTGTAGCGATTGAGTGAGTTTACGTACTCCCCAGGAATCCCCGATGGCGGAAAAGATGAACTCATTGTCTCTGGTGATCAATATGGGATCGAGGGCCGCGCCCTGGGGGTAGCCCAACACCGTCTGTGCCAGAAGTACCGACCCAAGGGCGAGAGAATTCTGATACGTAAACATGTTGACAAGAAACCTCTGTAGAAGAGGAGATGAAGGGAGGAGCTGGTTCGGTGTCTTCATTATCTTCTCTCTCTACGATCTTCTTATACCTTTTCACCTTGCGCATTTCTTCAAGGGTCTACTGTCAGCAGTGAGCATATATGAGACGATCCGAGCAGGCTTTCGATCCCCAACCCCGTCTTCACGGAGCGCTTCAGCGGCACAGAGCTGACATCAGACATATTCACGTCGATTGTGTATACTTGCCACCTGTGTCATCAATTGGGCGTACTATTTGGGGTCTAAAGACGTCGTCCACGAAAGTTTCAATGCTCGGTTAAGATATTTCGATCATTGTCCAAGTTGTGATGGCCCTAACCCCTACAAATTGTCAAACAAACCAGTTCCTAGGAGGACGAGCTGCTGATCCGATTCGACATCATGACACCATCAACAGCCTGCGCGCAGTTTCCCTGCATGGGGCCACTAACGCCCGGCGCTTCGGATGAACCATCTTGAAACCTGGGGTGTCGACAAAGCCTCGCTTTATAGTCAGGAACGTAAGCAGCGAGGCGGAGAAGCGACGGGGCGGTAGCAGGATTGATTAGAACTACCTCAGTCATGAGGCAGACAGTCGATTATGTGTGAGGCTGTGGAGACGCACCGAAATATTCACTGAGTAGGCCTGACCCCAATGCGAAACCTTCTTGTCAGTTCCGCCGATCGTGCTGGACGCCCAGAGCTTAGCGAGATTTATGGCGCGTTGTTGTTTGGTCTTGCGAAACGTGTATAGCAGTCCGTTCGAATCACCCATCCCCGTTGATCGACCGCAACAACACACGATTGATGTATCGATAGAAGGTCATGCGCACTCGCAATCGTAACAATATAACGACCAAATACACTACTCAATCATCCGTATCCCAAATACCCAGTGTGATATCCATCATCCCCTTAATATGAACCGCTTCCATGCGACTTCCCGCGCCTCTCCCTCTGACAGCCTTAACGAACCCATCACCTTCCTCTACCTCATCTAGCGCACTTCCCCCAAACTTGATCGAGCCTTTGTCGCCAGTCGCATCCATCATTCCAAACCAACTGAACGGGTACCGCAGGTACAAATCACCAGAGCTGACCCAGTGCGAACTCTTCGTGCTGAGAAGAGGATCGTAGAGCTCGTCCAAGAGCTCTCGATTGGCATTGTCCAGATGGAATATTGTGTTGCCATGCAGCGTCGTCGTGGAAATCGTGCTTTCATCATTCGGACTCACGGCAGCGAATGGTCGTAGATACGCGTTTACGTTACCGCTGATGCTCACGATACTGGTGAACGAGCCATGCGGTATCTCCGCGACTATATTGCCGTAAGCCGAGTGAATGTTCGTGTAGTGTGTGAATGGCTGCTGTGGCCAGTATTCCCAGAGCGCAGCGACGTTGATCGCTCCGCTGACTGTATATACCGAGATATGTTTTGGTCGCATCGGTTTTCCGATGAACGTATACCGCGGTACCAGCATTAGATCGATCTGCCCGCTTTTGCTATGTATCTTTAATTTGCCTTCGCAGCCATACCAGCCCCAGATGACGCCTGTTATTGAGCTGGAATCGATGTTGTGTGGGTGCAATGGGTCCGGGCCTTTGCCGCCTTCGTATGTATACTCGCCGTGCGAAGTATGTGTGATGAGGTTGTTGATCTGCCAGGCCCAGTCGTGAACCCATAAGTCGAATGTCTCGGACCTAATCTCGAGCACATCCAATAGACGCACGGGTGATTCCGGACGGAAGTATATCACGACCTTGATTTCTGTACAAATGTCTTCGTCATCGTCGGAGGGAAGGTAATCCAGGCTGAGGCTCGTTGCAGTTTGGTTGTAAACAACATTCTTGTAGTCTGCAGTAGAGCTGGAATTGATTTCGAGCCGAACTTCGATATCTGAGTTCTGGTCGACGTCGCCTCTCTGGACGTGAATGATACCAGAGAGACGACTGCCAATTGTGGAATTGGATGAGTCGGACAGATGCCAATGGGTTTCAGGTCCGTCGCTGTTCGAGATGTTGAAGCCGAATGTGCGCGCTTCAGAAGAAACAATCGATTCACATCTGGCGTAGTTGATGGTGGCCGGTGTGGTGTCGTATAAAGATCGGTCAGAAGTCGTCGTGTGGCTGGGAGGGCACGCATTCCAATACAGCAATACTATCGCGAATACGAGCAGCCCTAGTTGCGGTACTCTCCACAGTGGACGCTGTCGAATTAAGGGACCTGATCCCTCTTCGGGAGCCTACATTCTCATTAGAATTGATGAAGCGAACATCTAGGGCAACAATACTGACCATCCGTACTTCACGCCCGCTCGAACCCGCCTTCGTTGGCATCTCTTCCATGATTGCGTTCTGCTGTGGATTATTCAGAGTGAGGTAGTAAAGGAAGAAAAAGAATCAAACGAAGAGACCCGCAGACGGCAAGCACAACCAGAAAGGCAGCAGCCGCGATGCCATGCTGACTGTGAAGACGCCCGGTGCCGCGCCGCACTCGGTTTCAGATGTCTGCGACGCGCGACAACGCAGACCCCGGCACGAGGCGGAATGCACTGCACGCCTCTGATCAGCACTCTGAATAGCTCGTCGTTATATTTGAAGGAGAATTCTGAGACCGAGATACGTATGGTGATCATGTGCGAGCGGCTTCCTTCGCGCTTCCGTTCCGCCCCCACATGCTAGCATTAGCAAGGCGAACACATGACGTCACAACAGCACGATGTACAACGGTCATCACGATCAAACTTGAATAGAAGTTCATGAATGCTTCATCTTGAAGACTTTTTCCTTAGTGAGGCTCTACCTAGTCGTGCTATTCGGTCAGAAAACTGCCAGCACTCGGCTGCCCACAGGCTTGCTCAAAAACACAGATGCCAACTCCGACGCCGACGCCAGAGAAGTATGCACCAAAGCTCATGAGAGTTCGTCAATCGTTTCCTCGCTCACGTTGTTGAGCTTTTCACCACTCAGGACGAGGTCGTGGCAACATGAGGTAGCCTTGACCATCGTGAGTGAGTGGGCAAGGGACAAGAGGGCAATTGCCGTTCTTGTACTTCAATGAGCACATGAAGCGCAGGCATTCGGTGTTGTTCTCCACGCAGGGGCGACACTTGGTACCGCTGTCGCATCGCCGGTCCATGGCGTAACACTCCGTGCATGATACGACGGTCTCAGGGAGCTTGACATTGCGCGGCGGGACGACATGGATGGCACCACGGAGACGCTCGCCGTTGTTGCTGAGGTCCATGATGCGGGCATCCTTGAACTTGAGTTCGTCCTTGGCGTCCTTGAGCTGAGCTCGCTGGCGATCGGAAAGAGTGGTCATTTCACGAAGCTTGCCCTTGATGTCCTCGATGGCGCCGCGGTTTCCACGTTGCTCTTGGGCGTCGGTCAGCTCGAACTTCCGGACGACAAGCTCTTGTCGCAGATCAGCTATGGTCTTCTCGCGTGCAGTCGCAGCGTCAGCAAGGTGTTGATTCTGCGAGAGGTAATAGTCGATCATCCGCTGATGGTCGGCTGCCTTCTGTTGCTCCTTGATGATGAGATTCTTGTCCTCCTCGATGGCTGCCTCGGCGGTCTCGATCTCGCGGTTGCGATCTTCAAGGGTTCGCCTGAGTGCTGCCAACTCGGCATCTCTAGCGGCCAACTTGATGTCTATAGCGGCCAACTCGGCATCCTTAGCAGCCATCTTGGCGCCATGTAGACCGACCCTGTCATCTAGGACGAGTTAGCTTAGGCCCTCTTGATACAGTATGGTGTTCGAACTTACTTCCGGGGTTTGCCTTGTTGATCAACGCATTGCGAGCACCTAACTGTCGATGATTCTTCTTGATCTCAGCAAGATGTTTCGCGATCACAACTTCTTTCCTTACCAGCTGAGCGTCCTTGGCCTTGATATCAGCGCCCTGCTTCTTCATTCCGAGATCTTGCTTCTTGATCATGGCGTCCTTCTCAGACATAGCGCGAGACATTGCGGCATTCTGGTTCTCGGTGGACTCGAGCTGGTATCCGAGAAGTCCTAGCTTCCTATCGGCCTCAGCGTTCTCGCGCTCCAGCCTGGCGAGGGTTTCCTGAGCGGCTGCCAACCTGTCCTCTAGCACGGTCACCTGCTCCTGCTCAGTCATCCACACCATCGTTGGTTGGTCGGATCCGAAATCATGAACGGCATCCACAACGGAGTCTGCTGGAGTCGGGGGTGTATCAGATGCAGCAGGCACGGATAACTCGATTTGAGGGACGGGGACGGGTGGCGACCAGGAGCTGTGATCAGAACGATGATCGGACTCGCTGTCGATGGCCTTGTTGTAGTCATTGATAGTATCAATCATACTCCTGAACTCCATTCTGTTCTCAGGGATATACTCGGGGATCGGCTGATCAGACCTAAGGGCGGAGGTCAAGGGCTCTTGCTGCTCTTGCAGGAAAGACGCCACAGACTCCGGGGCCCTGTACGGCTGAGCCAACGGGGAGAACATCTCCGAACTTGAAGAGAGACGTGTCGCAAAGCGAGGGACTAGGTGTGGTCAGTCAGTCATGCAGTAATGCAAATATGGATCTGGTCACTCACCGTTGGACACGGTTGGCAGCGACACCGGGCGCGGAGCTGGTGAAGGGACTGGTGTGGAAGACTGCCTCTGTCTCATGAGGACATCGAGACCTGCGAAGTGGTTGCGGGGAGGCGACCTTGCGCGGTTCTCCGAGAGAGACATGCGGCCGACAAGACCGTTGGTACGGTGGATGCCGTTGATGCCAGTGGTATCCTGAGAGGAGGTGTCCTCGTCACTGAGGTCGATGAGGTTGCCCGACATGTTGCCAGTGGTCGGTGGTGGTAGTTGGGAATGAGAAAAGATGGGAAAAGACAGAAGAGCTGTCCGTTGTTGTGGAGGATTTTGTTTTGATTGTGGGGAGGTGAGGTGAGAGACAGCAGTCACAACAACGCCAAGCCAGAGACGAGCGCAACAGGCAGTCACCGTGACTTCCACAACAACAACACGTTGCCAGGCCCGTGCGCAAGATAGCAAACTGGGCTCGAAAACGGGAACGACAGAAGAACATGCGAGGTGACTGAAGATCCCTATATGAAGTGACTAAGGATCCTAACAACGACAATATGAAATGGACAACCTTTGATACCCAAGTGAACGTATGCCCGCGGGCAGAGTTACAACCAAGTCAGACGCTGTTGTCATGCGACAAATGTCACGGGCGGATAGGGAAGCCGATACCTTTGTGCCAGGGCTCCGTGTATGAAACCAAGAAGAAGATATGCGTGTTTGGTGTGCTCTTTCTGATCTGAAAGCGCGCAAGAGGCGATGACATCATCCTAATTATGCATTGAAATGGTCGGTAAATGCCCACCAGACAACGACAAGTGACAGTGCGTGAAGATGTCTCCCATTCATGTAGTCTCGAGGCGCACACCGCACGCAATAAAAACATCTCCTCGCCAATGCGCACACCTACAATGCTACCAGGCCATCTCTTGTCAATTCAACTCCTGCATTGTTCTTGACCTTATCTCAACGCACGTTCAATGACGAAAGAAAGAGGAGAAACGGGTGAAAAAGACTTGCTATGCTTGACATGTGCGACAGGAAGACTCAGAGCGCCATTGACTTCTTGCTTCAGTCGCTACGCTGACGACTCCAAGCAGATTGCGCTCTGAGCCGTGAAAAGGTCCTGATCATCGGCCGAAACGCTTCAGCTCCCAGGCCCTCAGAGGCGGGTAGACAACTGCAGCCCATGCGAATCCAACAAAGTTGCCCATCTGTTCACATTAGCTTTGCACATCTCTGCCTCTCCACATGCACATACATCAGCTCCATAAGTCCCAACCTGCTTAGCGATTGGTCCAATGTACCAAACTTGGGCCATACACATGATGGCTCCGATCCAACCGATCACGAACGAAGTAAAGGCTGCGATGCCCAGCGGCAACTTCTTCTTCTGGTTCCAGACTTGCCAATTGAAGCCAGTCTTACGACGGAAGATCAAATGTTCCTCGAGGGTGATGGCGATCCACACTGAGACCCAGTAGCCCATAAGAGCAAGGAAATTGGTGAAGATCTCGGCGAGATGGGCACGCCCTGCTAGTGCGCAGACTGTGTAGATGACTACGCCAACAGTGTTCCAGATGACTCTCGGTACGACACTTGCGTAGCGCCCTAGAATCTGGGCATCGATACCGGAAGAGTAGGTAGGGACGATGAGGTTGGCGACGAGACCCAAGGCAACTACTACGCCGCAAAATGAGCCGAAAGCGCCCAGCGGTTTGTATGCCTCGACTATGAGAGCGCCTTGTGACACCCCATATGCCGCTTCCCAGTCCGTATTGATCGACATACCGCACGCCAGACCGATGCCCAAGACGAAGGCGAAGGTGAAGCTGCACATCAAACCGAGCATGGTCATGCCGAATATCTTAAACGAAGATGCGTGTTCGGGGTAGTAGACGAAGTAGTCTGCTGCTCCTCCGCCGTATGTGATGGCCGCAGCGAGTGTCAAACCGAAGAAGCTGATGCGATTCCCGATTATAGTATCTGGGTCTTCGTCGCCGTGAGACTCGGAGGAGATATTGAATTGCGGACCGGCAACTCCAGCTAGTATGCAGAGAACAATAAGCTGCGGTAGCCAGGCCCAGCGCTCGTAGTAATGGAAGATCTGGTAACCAAAGGTGGTGATGGCCCACGCAATGATGGCTACAATGATGATGCCGACCACGACGGACATGGAGTTGCCCGAAACAGCTGAGAGTATCTGTCCAGCGACTACACAGTCGATCATGCCGTAGCCGAGTAAGACGATGATGTTGAGCAGGACGACGACCTTGGACGGCCACCAGCCCGTGATGTATCGTGAGAAGATCATAGTCCGATTGCCGCTCTTCGGGCCAAAGGTTGCGATGTATGCGACGACGAGGCAGCCGATGAATGCGCCGAAGACGGCCAGCATGCAGGAATCGAGGAAACCGAGGGCGAAGACGACCGGACCGAGCATGCCCAGCGTGATGTTGTTCGCCGCGAGGTTGACGCTGAACCACATGATGGCCACCTGAGAGTATCCAAGCAAGCGCAAGTCCTGTCGCTCCTCCGGCTCGACACGCTCAATGCCGCGGGCCTCGAGGTTGTATGCGACAAGCTGCCTCTCAAACGCCTTCCACATGTCCTGCCATCTGCTCTGGTGTCCCGCTCCTTCATTCTCGGTATCGTGTGCGCTGACAGGTAGTCCGGTTTCGTTTCTCGCGTTCGGGGCGAAT